CCACAAAGGCTCGCCACAAAGATGATCAAAGAACTCTATCATGATTCATACATGGGGAGACTGCAGTCTTGGGTCTATACTCTGCTCAGTATCGTCGGATTCGAGGAGACTTGATTTTAGTGTACCAAATATTACAACTCAAACCACCCTTGTCGCCGACTTCTGACGATGTCATCAAACGTGCATCTACGGGGACATCCGTTGAAGTTAGTACTCCAAAAATCTCGACTGGACTGCCGACGTCATGCGTCCGCCGTCAGAATGTGCACTGCCTGGAATTCCCTACCATCCCATGTTGTATGTGTCGAGACGATAGCTTGACGAATCATTAACACACATTGCATTCCAACATCCATAAGAACACAAAACACAATCAAATGCAGCATATGGAATTTTGTTCATCACTGTTACAGTTCAATTCGTGTTAACACCCTGTGGGACAAGAAAAGCATCTGCTTGTAAGTAATGCACATAATAAAACTTTGACTTTAGCAAAACAATGTTTTGCTGATTGCAATTGTGCGGTTAAATTAAGGGAAGAAAATGTTGTAAGCGTTCTGGTGCTTCTCGAAGATTATAACTCAATTTCCGGGTCGACATGATGTTGACTCTATCCGCCGAACCACCGCTGCCCGTGCTATTTGATATTTGCGGTTTCTTTCATCTACCTTCTGGTCCCACTTTTGACTGAGTCTGAAGCAAAACCACTGTATTCATTGAAAAAGGGTCTATATAATTAGAAATAAGACAATGCTCCCCAGATCTCTCAATGACAACTGGTTGTTTTATTCCTCGTAACAGATTATGAGTTTTTATTTCTCCAGATTTTAGTATCAGTGATGACCTCGTTATTGTACTTATCCTCTCTGTTCTTTCCAAACACAGCTCCTCACAGCCGTCTATGCGAACGTCGGTTCGTTCGCCAGCCTCACCGAAACAAAGTACCTGATCAGCGAATTACCCAAAGTGCTCAGTTGCCTCATTGTGCAATGGCGTCGAGCTGCTTCGCTTGCCATGGAACTGGCTTTGTGCCAGTCGCTAAACACATTTGTAAGCACAGTGATTCGCCGCTCTCATGCCAGTAGCCCTATTTCGTCACCGACCCGATCTGAGAACCCAGTCACTTCTCCCCGTCCGGGAGACAGTGGGTTTATTTTGTCGAGATTGAGTACCTCATCGAAACTGCAAAATCAGTCAGCTCCGACGGATTTGCAATCGATTTTTGCATCCGAAATAGATGGATTGCTCACGTGCCTCTTTCATCATCTGTTTTTGATTGCGCAACGTCAAGCTTCCAGTGACAATCCGGTCACCGTGGCAACACATACGAAATTGATGAATGAGATTACACGTGCCTTTGCCACATTATGTAAGTCTCACAGGGTTACGTGATTGAGGAACTTATCTTTTCCCATCTTCATTTTCACATCTCACCGCTGTTTGATTGCTGATTCGTGTAAAAGTAACCAGTTTGATTTGCTCTCACTGACCGGTTATATGTACTAGGCATCCTACTTTACTGCGGCTGGCTCTTTGGAAAGGATAATCCGGCTCCAGACATGATCATGATCATGGAGTTCCTTGGGAGTTTGGTTCGAGAGACGTCCCCAGCGTCACTCAGCGTTTTTCTATTTTGAGGGCGCACCTCTAGACTTTGTACAACCACGTGCGAACTGTAAGGCAGTAGGAAGTAAGCCCTCACCTCGGAAGTCAGGGGGGTCAATGAATTTAGTTTTAATAGGCCAGTCACATCGACCTTTGTCACGATAACATCATTGGGCTTATGCGGTTTTTAAACAGGAGTCAGGTGACCAGCCTGAAACCCACCATACCCTGGTAGTGCTGCCGCTGTTTGTTCGCGGCTGCTTATTTGTTGCGGTATGCCACAAATTATTCACAACCTGGGGACGCGCTTGGTAGCATTTAGCTCTGCTTAACCCGAGAATATCCAGGGGCTAGGACTCGGGATTCAAACTACACGAAGTTGATTCCACTTTGGTATAAAACTTCACTGTGGTCCATCTCCGCACTACACCCATCCCTTGGTGTTTTGCTTTTATAGGTCTCAGGGTTTAAGCAGCCTCTTACCTTGTCTGATAAAAAAGATACTTGGTCGTCTCTGAAATTCTCAGCACCATTGGGATTTTTCTCAAAGTTTTCGCATGTGAATCTTTTTTCGTCTCATGTGCACCGTTAGTTTGTTCTTGAAAATCGTACTGTATATAAATGTTTATACCTTATAGGTTTTGATTAGATCTTACTGTTTCACTACTATTCCATAACCTGTTCATCTTTGTTTCATCATAAAAAAGAACTGGTACTGTACTCATTGCCAACTTTTTGTTCCTTTGTTCAACTTTTTGGAACCACTGCATATTTATCGTAATAAACGGAAGGAGTTGTAATTCATTTACTTTGGAACTATTGGCACCAATATCTGAGTGATCACTTCTCATATGATTTGTAATATTCAACCAGTAAATCATGCTAGAATGTCACTTCGTGAAAAAGAGAATCCTCAGTCCACCAAGAAAATCCACACCTAAGTATACCACACCCCATAGAACTGTGCGGCGGAAGAAGCTAATTGGTCTGATAGAGTACTGGAGATGATTTTCAACGACGAATTCATGTTTGTTTCGAAGTAATTAAAATATGGATTGAACACTCTAAGCTCCTACTAGAACAGAAATTCATCTTAATCTTACAGAACTGTAGTTTTGCTTTATTGCTTCGCGTGCTATAACACCACTACATCACCCACACGAGGCGTGACGTTTGATGGTAGTCGGTCATCTAATTAATCTTCACCGGCTGTCGTTCACTCAGACCACATTCGTTGAACGCCAAGTTCAGGTTCTAAATTGCTAAAACGGACTCCTCTCTTAAGATATATATTTTTATATTTTCACACACGTCTGATCCAGACTGTGTGCCAAACAAATCATGGTGCAATAATCTTCATGTCCAAGAAAGATGTTCCAGGTTGCCCATGCCAAGGCAAGTGAATTTTCTTGAGGACTCCAAAACCGGAGCCTTCGGCTAACCAAAGCCTGATCCGCAAGGTAGCGGGACGGTGTGTGAAAACCGCCATCCATTGGGAGAAGGTGTCCAGTTCATCGGATCATATGCCGTTTAGACGGGGTGAAACNCCCCGCGATGCCCAATCAAGCCGGTGAGCACAGTTTCAGACGGTTTGATAGATTTGGATGTGAATTATTCTGGTGGATTGGAGGCCAACATCTTTTACCAAGAGCTTGTTTTTTTTCCTGGTCGGCTCAGTACACTAATTTTCCAGTAGATATATTAGCTCACTTTTCTTTCGGGGTCTTATATCATCCACGGTGACAGATTATCTAGATAGTCCTTTTGCTCGAATGTGATATGTAATCCCAAAAGTTTATTTACCTGGTTTCTGATTCTCCTCTCAATATGATTACTGCTACGACGGTAGTTTCATGAGCTTCGACATTAGGCCAGTGGACTCATGCGTTCTTTCTTATGGAGATAGGTGATCATTGATCTGTGCTCCTGGTGCTAGTTCGTGATTGTTGATAGTTTTATATATTTGCCAATAACCATCTTTAGGCAAGAGAAATCGTTTAATTTGAACCGGTTGATACACTTCGTAACGGTGGTGTAGGATCCCAAAATAGCTTGCACGGTTATTTTGACTAATTTATGAATCGAAAATATTCCGGAACGATGGCCGACTCTGTTCTTCATAAAAAAAATTGAAAATCATTTAAATACCTCATCTCCATCGAGCTATCAGATCGATATTTATGGGGCTATGTGAGATTTGAAAAGATCAGTGCTATCGGTGTGGCCTCGTAGCTCAGCTGGTAGAGCGTGCGCGTACAAAGCATAGGCGGCGTCCATGCGTGGCTTCGAATCCCACCGAGGCTACTGAACTTTTCATAATCGACATACAAAATTCAAATCTGCCAAATAACAATTTAAGCTAAGTGAGATTGTCAGTTATCAGTCATTTATCGATGAAAAAATGAGTTCATCCATGCGATGTCTGACTCTCCATTATTTCTCATTTTATCAAACAACATCGCCTTCTCTATGTATAAATAAACTACACATCCAGTATTCAACTTTTTCTGATTCTAACCTCCTAATCGAGCCAAGTCCGATAATCTGTTTCATTTAAGTATTTCCTAGATTTGTTCTGTTCACGATCGTGCTAGATTTAGTAGTTTCTTTTATGGGTTTCCGTTTCATCAAGTTAAATGTCTACTTCTTTGATATTTCCTTCAGGCTCTTCTTATCCTGATCGTGTCTGGTTGGCTGTCCAACCTCATCTGACTAGCGGTCCCGAGCTATCCAGGACAATCACACTTGATCTGCTCCGTCATCTGGTTTCCACCGGATCTTCGCCAGACCGTTCCCCATTTTCAATGACCACAAGACAGCAGATTGTGAACACTATGCTCCGTTTGTTATTCGGATCCGGAGTCTCGCTTTCAGGATCTCAACAACTCCACACGGGCAATGCACTCAGTTCTCCAGCATCGATGAATACGGGCTTAACAACAAACGTATTGAATCGACGCTCTCTGCGTCACAGTCTGATGGGTGATGTAGTTCACGGAGCTCCACTGGGACCAAACCGTGATAGCCTGTTATTAGGAGAGATTGCGGCCGGTGAACACGTGTCTCCGTTGATCCGAGTGGAATTGATCAAACTGATTCTGACTGTGGGCAGTTTAGGTTATTTGGATTTAGAAGGTGGTCATATCCTCATCGAATTTGTCATACGACAATACGCTGCCACCTCAGGATCTTCAGTTCCAAATGAGAAGGTACATAGTTTGGTTTTTATAGCCTTTTTAGTGAGTTTGCCCATCTTTATTGTGGCTTCCTTCTTTAAACCGACAACAAATTTCACATATATTTGAATTATCTGTGTTCAAAGATGGTCATCTGACAGCAGGTATGAAAGACTATCTCAAATAGGACTAACATGAAAAATTGGTGAATTAATTTAAATGAACGTGGTTTGGAAAGAAAAGCTAACGTCAACATTGATTGGGGTTTTCTTTTGGTACCATTTAGATAAATATATAGATAGATATGAACTAGTTTAAATATGGATGTTTCTGTTGGAAAAGGGTGAATACTTATTATCCGATTGGTGGTAAGTATTGTCATTTATTTCAGGAGTTTTACATCCGACGCACACATTCGCATATCACATGCGTAGCAACCTCAAGCGTGCGTAATTTCTCTTATTGCCTCGAAACGTAATCTGTTACATTGAGATGCACTTGCATTCGAGTTCAAGCAGACCTGAAACGTACACCAGTTATTCATTGGTACGATAACTTCGGATTATGTCGATAGAGAATTGAACACGATCCAAAGAAAACGGGAGGAAAAAGAATGAATTAAACTCAGCACAAGCCGCGGTACTATATTTCTCGAAAAGCTGCTGCGACGCCAACAATTTATCTCAACAATAAGTTCACGTAGGTTGCACCAACTGTACAATCAGGGACTGGAGAAATGGAAACCAGTTTCTCTAACCAGTGGATTACGAATGTGTAGCCAATAGTGAAGCAATAATAAAGGAGTATTGCACAGTAATACGAACAATGCTGTCAACCACTGGTCACTGCTATCGGTCAGAAGATTTTAGTAGCAAGCACTGGTAAGAGAAAAGAGGGGACACCACGTTTTGAATGAGTACGTCACATGTGAAAAGTGATCAAACCGTAACAACGTAAAGGCCACATGAGCGATTGCGTGGGTTCGAACCTCGGGAAGGCATATGTCCAACTTTGGAAGACAGCAGGGACAAATGAACGATTGCTTAGGATCAAGCAAGAAAGCCTCCGGACTAAGGTGCATAGATTCCGACGGCTTAGTGACCAGAATTAAAGACTCAACCGTACACGGGTTACGCATAAAATCCCTCGACGTTAGTTCCCTCTTCACAAACGTTCCTATTGCTGAAACTATTGAATATATATGTGACCACATGCAAAGCAACAATCTCGAAGTTAGAATACCAGTTGGTGATTTCAAGCAATAGTTATACTTATGCATAACAAAATATAAAAAATTAAATTCAACGACGAGGTTTATTATCAGATAGATTGGATGGAGATGAGGTCTCCCCTGGGTCCACTTTTCGCAGATGTCTCCATGGCTAAGCGGAAGATTATCATCATCATCATTATAGTACAGCAAACACAGGGAAGCGAACTTCACTGATCACTGCCAAACTTGCAATGCATATGCATTGCGAATTTGATGGGCGGGTACTAGTAGGGTGTGGAGCCACTAAACAGGAGATAACATCCTCAAACAAACAAATGATGGGTGCGCATTATACAAGCGATGCGTAGATGGCATTTTATGTTTTGTTGATGACAGTGTGAATCTGTTAAGACTCTTAAAAGTATTTTACTCGAAGCGAAGCAAATAAGCAGATCGCGTTTCTGGACGTTCTACTAAGTCATCGACCAGACGGAACTATCCTCCGCACCATCCACAAGAGACCGTCCTGGAAGAGTCAGTGTATCTATTCCAAAAGCTGTGGCATTGGAACGTAAAAGAAACTTGGTTCAGTGCCTAGTTACCAGAACGCGGTGAGTATGTAGTGATGATACCATTGACAGCGAACTGAGGTTTATCCGAGAGGTTTTCCTTCACAATGAATACACAGAACGATTTCTTTGACATTTTGGGGCGTACTCGGTTGCCAAATAAGATCACTACTGTTGAGAAAAAACTGGTTTGCATACCACTACCTTTTGAGAGCTATATAACTGCCGAAAGTGTGGCACACTGAGTACTGCTGTGGAAAAAGCAATACGTCATTCACAAACAAACATGCTATTTCACCCTTTTTCGTCACTTATCCCCCCTCATTTGCTTTCTCACTGTTACATGAGTGCATGGCTGCGGTGGCCGAATGATGTAGGTCACTTGCCCACCGTTTGGGTTGTGTTCCAACCTAACATAGTTAGCCTACTTTCTGGTTTATTATTTGGTGACCTTTTATCAACCACATATCATATCAACAAGCGAAAGTAACAGCAAGAGTCAGAATCCATCTTTTTTCCTCTTTATCGAAAGACGTCGCGCTCAAATCCTAGCCCGCGTGAAATTCGTAATCTTTGCGTGCATGTGATGAAGCTGAGCTCGTCCACCGTGTCCGCGATGCGTTCTGTACTATGGCCTTTCTTGCTCGAATTCCTCATGCCGATTGACTGTACCGAAGCGATTGGAGTGGTATGCGACAGTATCGCCAACATATTGGCCAAACCTCCGGTAAGTACATTGATAGGTACGCGTGGGAAACTTTTTTTAATTGTGAAATAAAGCTGCATTTGCGGGACAGCATCAAACATGTTCAGAATCGCTTGTTCATTGATTCACAACTAGAAACTCCACCCCTGGCTTTTATATTTGTACGATTCCTCAAGACCGAAAATCAAACAATGAGAGTCGTGAATAAATTCCCTATTTGCGTTTCATCTTCATACCTTAATTTTGGTCATTCGTGGCCTTCAAACAGTCGTGTTTTCCTCCATCTCCCACCTTTTTCGAATAACACGGTATGCAATTTTTAAAAACTTCCACCACGTTCATCTTCACGGTTAGATTCTTGGTTTGATCGATTCTATACACGTTTCTTTGTAGGTTGTGAGAGAAGAAATCAGCTTCACTGTCAATATTTATCACATTTCATCGTTGCCTGCATTTTGTGTCGCATAATGCATTAGAGATGCGGTCTGTTTCTATCAGATTGGGTATCGTCATTACTTATCCATCCATCTGACTGGTAACAGCACCCGGGTCCTCAGAGATAGAGGGCAAGCATGCCTATCCGCCTGATTATCCAGCGACTTATTAGGTTGTTTCGCAATAAGCCAGAGCCTTTGTTGGCTGTGAGTTATCACTTGACTGCAAATGTTGTTTTCCATTCTGCATCCAAGTCACATTATTTGCTATTCTCAATTCTTAATCTTGTCTTCACGCTTCTCCTTTGTTTTCTATTATGAACTGTTTACACTAGGATGATCTCGAGATCCATTTCTCGTTATGCGCCAGACATTCTTCACAATCTTTTTTTCGCTAAACACGATTGCATACTG